AAGCCACACATCCTCAACATTGCTAAAGCTGCTTCCCGAAAGCTGGGAATGCTGTACAGATGCCGTAACTACAGTCGGCCCTTAACATACACAGGGGTTATGTAACAGAGATACCCGTGGATGTTAAAAATCCGCGTATATGTTCCACCCCAAAAAAAACTGGTCCCCCCATGTCCTAATTTACCGTATATACCTGTGTGTAGTTCAATTTTTTAAGATCAAATTATTTGGCAAAAAATTGGGGGTCGACCTCTAAACGGGTAATAGTTTCGTTAGGTTGAAAAATATTTACCAGTAACTACCAGTAAACATTGGAAACTATGCACCAACGCACCACCAGCTGTGAGTGTCAGTACAGTCGCCAGGGCAGATCTCTTGCGTCATCATAGCAAGCCCAAAGTAGCCAAATCCATGGTATGGTAGCACAGGACGATGTAAAACAAAGTATTCATTTATTAAAATTTATTTATAGATACTGTACATAAATTTTTGTTCATTACATTTGAAACATCAATCTTTGTTAATTAAATTTGAAACAAAAGAAAACTACAATATCGTATTTTCATTAAAATATTACATCACAACTATATATTTTACCTTAACTGTAACTGAATGAATATAGGTATTCTCAGAAATAAATATGGAAATATAATATTTTTGCTGGAATGACGTACATATTACAGTGGAAAGATAAAATCATGAAAACAATGACTTTCGCTTTCTTTCGTTATTCAAAAGATTTTACCGTAATCGCTTTTCGAATGGTTTTCAGTTAAAAAACTGTTGTACTCGTACTGTATTACAATAATATTCTATCCTATCATTAGCCTTATAATCCCACAACTGAAAACCATTCGAAAAGCGATTACGGTAACATCTTTTGAACGAAAGAAAGAGAAAGTCATTGCTTTCGTCACAATTTTATCCCACTTTCCACTGTAATACGTACATCATTTCAGCAAAAATATTACATTTCCATGTTCTCAGAAATAAATGGTAGTTTTGTTGAAACGTAATGTACAATATTTAATATTAAAATGCAAAAATAGCTATAAAAACAATTAATACACCCGTAATGTACTGGCTGGCATCTCCACTCGTCCCTGCTCCCGCGTCCAAGGTCACCACTCCTCCCAACTCGCTCCCTCCGCTCCTCCTCCACCTCCTCACCGTCACTACTGCCGACAACGAACACAAATGTTTTGTGAATAACTGCACCTCCACTTCCTATGTACAGTACTGAACTGTACTGTGCTGTGCATTTTTACAAACAATAAACATGGCAAGAAAAGCTATTAAAAAAAAAAGAGATAAAAATTTCACTTTACTGTACAGTACCTATCCTCGGCGACAGGACGGGGGTCATCGGGCTCATCGTCACTCAATTCCATAACGGGTGGTGAAGTGGGGGCGACGGTGGATTCAGCTGCTTCCTCACTGCCGCCAGTGATTGATGGTGTTAAATCTCTCCTTCGGTGATCAAAGAACATGGTGATGGGGAGTTGTCGTCTCTTTCTTTCATTTCTTCCATGATGTTTTTGTATGGAGCGAAAACGTCATCCATCCCTCGCATGAATTTCAGGGCACGCACCATGGAGGGGTCCATACTATAGGCCAGGTTTTTCAGTGCCTCAATATTCCTGGTCATCTCCCCCAACTTCTCCAACGTTATTCCTTGGTGCTCTTCCTCATCCTCTTTCCCTTTCGCTTCCTCTTCCTTGCCTGAGTCTACTAACTCCTGTAGATCCTCCTCGGTCAGCTCAGTGTCGTGCTCTTCAATTAGCTCCCTAATCTCGTCCTCTGCCATGTCCTGGAAGCCTTCAGCAGCCACTTTCCTTGACAGTGCCAGGGTCTTTCTGAATATTTTCATTAAAATCCATCAAAATCATTTTCCTTGTCATCGTCTTAAACACCAAACAGCTCCTCCCAGTCTACTCCTTGAACAGGGCTAGAGGGTACGTGTTTTTCGAATCGTTTTCAATTAAAACAATGTTACAGCACATGTATATTTTACCTAAACTGTGCCTGAATGAATATATTCTCAGAAATAAATAGTAGTTTTGCTGAAACGTGATGTATTTCAATGTAAAATAGGATAAAATACATGACGAAAACAAAAGACTTTACCTAACCTTCCAATGTTCAAGAGATGTTACTCGTTTTTTTAATAGTTTTCGGTTAAAATACTGTTATATTACAATGATATTATATTCATACTGTGCTTGATATACTACATTCACGGAAATGTAATATTTTTGCTGAAATGACATACGTATTACAGTGGAAAGTGACGACGAAAACAATGACTTTCGCTTTCTTTCGTTCAAAAGATGTTACCGTAATCGCTTTTCGAATGGTTTTCAGTTAAAAAAACTGTTGCATCACAAGTGAATTAGGATAGAATATTATTGTAATACAACAGTTTTTTAACTGAAAACCATTTGAAAAGCGATTACGGTAACTTCTTTTGAACGAAAGAAAGCGAGTCATTGCTTTCGTCACTTTCCACTGTAATACGTACGTCATTTCAGCAAAATATTACATTTCCATATTCTCAGAAATAAATAGTAGTTTTGCTGAAACGTAATGCATTTCAATGTAAATTAGGATAAACTACATGAAAACAAAAGACTTTACCTAACCTTCCGATGTTCAAGATATGTTACTCGTTTTTTTTAGTAGTTTTCAGTTAAAATACTCTTATATTAGTGATATTCTATTCATACTGTGCTTGATATAATACATTCACGGAAATGTAATATTTTTGCAACTACAATGCTGATGTCAACACAAGCGTGGTTACAGCGAGACTGACTGAGCGAGGGAGAGCTATGTGTGTGTGTGTGTGTGTGTGTGTGTGTGAGGTTGTGGGAGCGGGCGGTGTCCCGTGTTTGGTGCCGCGCGCGATTTGAATGTACTTCAATTACTTCAATGTACAGAATATTCCTCCGGCGGGGCAATCCGCGTATTTGCAAATCCGTGTATTATAAACCCGCGTATGTTAAGGGCCGACTGTACTTCACTCCTGAGCATTTGCTTCAAGTATATAAGGGATTCATTCGTCCTAACTTGGAGTACTGCTCTCATATCTGGGGTGGCTCTTCTTCTGTCCAACTGGGTGGAATCAAAGGCATTTCATCTAACTAACTCTCCTCCTTTAGTTGACAATATTTCTTCATTTTCTCTTCGCCGCAATGTTGCTTCACTCTCTCTTTTACAGGTACTTTAACGGGTAATGTTCGGTGGATTTGGGATCTTGTGTACCGCCGGCGAGGCAGTGGGCTCGTCACACACGTCTTGCCCGCTGTGCCCACCATTTCTCTGTGGATGTCGGTCACACTAGAATAACCCGTTATAGTACTTCTGTGTTTCCATACTCATACAATGTCTCAATAAAAAGATGGTTTTCCGGCAACCTCTCAGTGTAGGTAAATATAACCTTTTTCGCCTCCTAGGCCCCGATGTGGGTCGATGACCTGTGCCGGGGTGGGCTATTCCCCGTAAAAAAAAAACTTTCATGTAAATTGACAATTTCTCCACCTGTTTTGGGATATTCTTGAGGTAGGAAAGAAGTTAGCTTCTATAGAAAAAATGATGCTACTATAATGTGGAGTCTACAAGATATTTAGATTAGATTAAACTAAAGATATCTTTGTAGACGGCATGCTGTAGTAGCACCGAAAATTTGTCTGTAGTTACTGGCTAACTCAGACCCCTGTTCCAGAGTATCATGCTGTAGTACAGTACAATACTAACAAGGGATCACCTGAAGAATCTCCACCCCAGTTTATTTCACCTAAAAATTAACCACCCTAACACTATTTGGGGGAAGGGGGGGGGAGTTTGGCTGGGTTAGGTTAGTGTTAGGGTGGTTAATTTGTGGTGATCCCACCGACTTATTCCTTACCTCAAGAAAAATCATATATACAGTGTAACCCCGCTTTACGCAGTCAATTGAACCCATGGAGGCCTGCGTAAAGCGGGAAACGCGTAAAGTGAACAACAGAACATTTGGGATTAATTGAAATAAACACTGGACCAATCCCCAAACTCCACTTTTTCAGACACAATACCTACGTTGTAGTAAAAATAACTTCTTAATTTTATGATGGTATGCACACACAATTAATAATTAAGAGAAATATCAATAATATTACGTTTTTTAACACTTACATTAGTAGAAAAGATGGCTGGGCACACGGGGATGGGGGGTTGATTCCGAGGCAGAGGGCAGATTATTGGCCCTCATCTGTATCACTTGTATCACTTGTATCACTATCCACCACAGAGGCTTGCAGGGCCTCTTTGTCAAACCCCTCAAAGTTCATATAAGTCCATATCCTCACTATCTCTATCACTGACTTGGGCCGGCTGTGGTGGGTGGTGGGTGAAGAACTCGGTAATGTTTTGATGACTGGGCGACCTTGTGCGCACCCTGCCTGCGCCGCTTCCCGCGTATATGAGTAGATGCACCACGTAAAGTGGGAATTTCGGTTCTGGCGGGGTACCGCGTAAATGTAGAAACGCGTAAAAAAAAACCCCGTAAAGCGGGGTATTACTATGATGAGGAATTGTGGTTTTCATACTGTATTTTTACTCTGCTAACTTCTACAGCTTGAACACTAATCTACGTCCACCCATATCAACTTGCCTACACCACTGTTTTCTTATAATTTTAATGCTACAGTACCAACTACTGTTTTATAAATGGAAAGACATGAAGTATGCTTCATTGTACAGTTTGTATGATGAAAGATGTACCAACCTAAACTACTTAACATAACCTAAATAAAATATATTGTATCTTATCATTGTTAAGCGAGGTTAGGTTAGATCCAATGGGAAACATTGGAAAAAATTCTGAATACTGTAAAGTATTATCAGTTATTTACAGGACTAGTAATATATATTTATTATTTATTGTAAGTTAAAAGGACATCACAAACCTAATAGACCATCAATAGTGGTTTTCCAGTGCTGATAATTGTTCTTATTTATAGAATGGTAAAAGTTATGAGCTCCTCAACTGTGATGACCACATGGGGCTGATGAAGAAGTACAACAAGGACCCGGCTAACTATCGCCCAGATATCCTCCATCAGTGCCTTCTAATGCTGCAAGACTCCCCTCTTAATCAAGCTGGCAAACTCCAGGTAGGATAACTGGGATTCAAGTTAAAAATAATAATTATTTTAACAGTTTGATTGTTACTAATTATTTTTATTTATTTATTTTTTTAAATTCAGGATTCTTGCAATTAGTAGATGGAAATGTGGAGAAAATTTTGTTTTCATAACTGCAAATTTTTGTAAATCAGGGTCTACCGGTTTGTTTAAAATTGTAGAGGTCAAATTTTTTAATCACCTGGTAGACAGGTACAGCAATGAGTATTCACATTAGGGTTTTTGTAATACACCTACAGTACTAATTTCAAATATGATACAGTATTGTTCTCTACCATTCTATTATAAAACCTTAATTATAGGGTTTAAACATTTGCTGTTTTCAGGTGTACATTCACACAGAGAAGAATGTCCTCATTGAAGTCCATCCTCAGTGCAGAATACCAAGAACCTTCAAGAGATTTGCAGGTCTTATGGGTAAGATAATTATGCACCAGCAGAATAGACTTTTTTTTTTTATAATGTAATGTTACTAGTGGAGAAATAAGGGAATGTACAATTTATAATTATTTCAGAAGGTTGTTTGAAAGTATAGTACATTATACTGAGGAAAACTTTTCTTCTTTTTTCTCTCACTAGTTAATGGGGAAATTTGAGTGTCATTCACGATATTGAAGGGTGTGATGAAAACAGTCTTGGGTATGCACCTTGGTACCTGTACTGTGACAAGGAGAATAACTGGATTATGGTAGTTCTATGAACGAGGCTAGTAACAGAAATAGAACTGTAGTGCGACTACAACATTAGCATACATCTTTTTGATGTTCTGTACTACAAGTGGTTGGTAAAAACCATTAAGGTTAGGATGGTACAAGATGATGCTAGTAATGCAGTACTGTACTGTATTTGCTTTAGAGAATTGTACCAATAATTTTTCTCAAAGTTTTTAAACTCATTATCAGGGTAGTTTTACAGCACCTGTCATTTCTCGAGACAAATTTTTGCGTGCAAATAAATTTAACATGGTTTTTAATTGGCCATTCAGTCAAGTTCATCACAGAAGATGCCATCATAAGTGTAGTCGAGCCTAAGCATTGCATAAATTAAGCTCTCATCATTAGGTGGTACAGTATGTTAAAGGTGGTCAGGAATCACTTTTTTGGGCCATTAACCACCAACTTCTATATTGCAGTACAGTGGTCCCTCTATTAACGAACAGTTCAATTAACGAAGTTTTGGTTAACTAATTAGCTCCCATAAGGATTTTCAGTTCCATTAACGAATAAAACCTCGATTAACGAAAGCCTTCGGAGAAACACGCTTTGTTGTGAGCATCAGCTGTTCGGTTAGTCCGCCAATACAGTACAGTGGGGTATGCTATAACGAACGTAATTGGTTCCAGAACCTCGTTCGTTATAGCATTCGTTCGTTATAGGATTAATCCGTTCCAGGCCCCCAAATACAACCACTTAACACTGAAAAAATTCTGTGGAAAATGTAAAAAATACGGTACTTTATCTTACCTTAGTGTTGTTCAGCATGCAGGACAGGAGGCAGAGGGGGAGGGGGGAGGAGAGAATTATTGAGAAGAGGTGGAAGGAGAGGAGTCATCCTTCCTAGCCCTCTTTGGTGACTGTCTCACAGGCACTTTGTCTGTATGTTCTTTTGTTATCTTTGTAAAGAAGGTATCCAGGGTTGGCTGCTTCAATCTTGATTTCTGGACCTTCCAAAAGTAGTTCATAACATTGTCATTGAACACACTGATGGCCTTTTGCACAGAACCAACATCAGGATGATAATCCTCAGCAAGCTTGGACAGTTTGCTCCAGCAAAAGAACGCATCCTTGAGATCTTTGGCTGGAATGATGCGGCTTTCCTCCTTGTCCTCCTCCTCCCCTGACTCCTCAGAAGTTAAGCTCCGCTTCAGTGTCTCGTTTTCCTCTTTGTGAAGCTCAAGCAGCTCCTCAGTGGACAGTTCCTTACTGTGCTCTTCCACCAACTCCTCAACATCATCATCATCCACTTCCAGGCCCATGGAATTGCCCAGAGCCACAATTTCATGAAGAACAGCCTCTTCTTCTAACTCTTCGAAGCCTTCAAAGTCTCTTTGAAGGGCACATTCAGGCCACAATGGCCTCCAAGCAGCACAAAGACACCTCACAGTAACCTCTTTCCAGGCTGAGGTAATTAAAAATACAGCATCTGCTATATTGAAGTGACTCTTCCAAAATTCCTTCAAGCTAACATCACTGGAAGAAGTGGACGCAAAACATTTTCTAAACAGTGCCTTTGTGTACAGCTTCTTAAAGTTAGAAATTACCTGTTGATCCATGGGCTGGATGAGAGGTGTTGTGTTGGGTGGCAAGAAGTGCACAGTGATGAAGTTCAACTCCTCTGGCAATTCAACCATCAAATTAGGAGGGTGGGCTGGTGCATTGTCCATCACCAACAAAGCTTTTAGTGGAAGATTATTCTCCCTGAGGTATTCCCGAACACTGGGTCCAAACACCTCAATCACCCACTCAGAGAATAAATTCCTGGTCACCCAAGCCTTTGGGTTTGACCGCCACATAACACCAAGGCGGGTCTTCCTAGTGTTTTTTAAGGCTCTGGGGTTTTCTGCATGGTACAGAAGGAGTGGCTTTATTTTGCAGTCACCAGAAGCATTAGCACAAAGAAGGAGGGTAAGCCTGTCTTTCATTGGCTTATGGCCAGGGACAGAAGTTTCCTCCTTGGTAATGTATGTACGGCAAGGCATTTTTTTCCAAAATAGTCCAGTTTCATCACAGTTGAATACCTGCTGAGAAACAAAGCCTCCCTCTTTAATAATATTCAAAAAAATGTCATGGTGTTCCTTAGCTGCTTCCTTATCGGCACTAGCAGCATCACCATGTCTCACAACACTATGTATTTTATTTCTTCTTCTGAAACCAGTAAACTACCCCTTGGTACCCTTAAACACTGGCACATCACTATCACTTGCACTGGGAGTCCTGGCTTTAAGGTCCTCAAACAATTGTCTGGCCTTCTCACAAATTATAGCTTCACTAATGCTATCACCTGCCATTTCTTTCTCCTTTATCCACACTAAGAGTAAATTTTCCATCTCCTCAATCACATTACACCTTGCTTTGCTAAGTCTAGAGATTCCCTTAGCCACTTGCACTGTTTTCAACTCCTCTTTATTCTTTAAAATCGTACATATAGTCGATTTAGCCATCCCATACTCATCACTAAGTTTCGCAATGCTTGTTCCATCCTCACATTTCTTTATGATTTCTTTCTTAGTTTCAAGAGTTATGAGCTTTCTCACTCGCTTTGAACGATTCATTGTCACAATTGTACACTTGTATAACAAAATATTTATACAAATAACTCTATTTCCACATCAAAAGACGAAATTTCAACAATAACAGTGGTGCACTGGCTACACAATGAGACAAAGATGGCGCCTGACGCTCTTGTTGTGGGTCGCGGTACAACAATATTCATGTGCCAGGCGAAATAGTCCGGTATTCATCCGCGTTCGTTGTAGGAGTTGCGTTCGTTATAGCATTCTCAATTTTATAGGTAAAACCGTTCGTTATAGGAATATTCGTAGTAGGATCCGTTCGTTATAGCATACCCCACTGTAATTGGTTCTATATTTACATTTGTTTCCAGTCGAGTAAATATCAAGAAAGTTGTGTTCTTGAATATTTTTGCAGTTTCATATTAAAATTATTGGTCATTCTAAAATTTAGCCATCCAAGCTCTGTCTACATAAAGTTTTTCAACTAATATTTTTGGCTGGATATATGTAATTTTACTTATTTACATGCACACACTGTTCTAAGGGCAAAGCTTTACTGTACATGTACTCAAAATAATGTACAAAATGATTACTAAGATTTTTGTCTTGTACAAACTATAGCATTATATTCAAATTAATCATTATCTCACAAGAATCCCAGCAATGTAAATTATATTCTCCCAGGTCATTTCAGTGGCATTTTATAAGAGAGAAGCTTAGTCACTCTTAAGGACTGATAAATAAACACACACATTAGACCTTCGATGCCAACTATTTAACGTATCACCTCACCTCCTCCCCCCCCGCGCCCCCTCCCTCCCTCCCTCCCTCCCCCGATCTGCCCAGCCAGGGTTTTAGGCTTACAGTTTTTATCTTATATAATATAACAGGCTAAAGTTAGGAGAATATAATTTGCATTGCTGGAATCCTTGCAAGACAGCAAACAATTTGAATATAAACTTCATATATTTTGCACGAGATAAAAAATAATCACCTGTATCACATTACAGTTGTGATTTAAGAGTTCTAGTGTATATGTACTGTACGTGTATATACTATATATGGTGATTTAATGGCAATTTGGGGAATTCTAGGAGTGTTTGTGACTATGCATTTTTTGGCTTTACTTTGTATGTACTTTTTCAGTGAGGTGGAACCAATTACCCAATATCCCATTAAAATAATAGATTCAGTTAACAAAATTTTCGGTTAACAAACGACTGTGGAACCAATTGTGTTCGTTAATCGAGGGACCACTGTCCTGTACTGCACTGCACTATAAAATTACAACTAAACCTACACACAAACCTCTTGTTATCATAGAATCTTGTCTGCCATTCATTATGTCCATCCTTACAAAAACTATCATTCATTCTTCACTCGATGTCTTCCTATGGTAAATGTTATTGACACGAATCACGTCAGATTATTGGGTAGCACTATTTGCATTGGTGACGTGAACTGGGTGATTAAACTTTAAAAAAATTTACCTTTTTATTTTTCAAGATAATTGTCAACTTTTGGTAGATTTCTGCTGTCCTATCAATTTCCTCCCAACAGTCGTGCTGGTAGGTTGCATTTGTCACTACAGTATTTCCTCTCCCACCCTCCCCACAATTAGTCAGATCAATATTCCGAGGCACCGTTGGAAAACTCAAAATTTCGCTTGGTAGGTGTATGAGAAATATTTGAGGTATGATGCTGGGAACAAATATTTTTATTTATTATTTTCATCTTATTTTTTTTTTTTTTCAGGTTATCTTAAAGCCAAAACAATAACAAAGTCAGTGATGTATAAATCGTGCAAAAAAAACCCAACTATGTCTTGTGTGATAAATTGGTCACAGACCAAGATTGACCAGACCTCATGTGAGTGGTCCCACATGACTTTTGTTGTAGTCACAGAAACTGAAAAACTTATTGCATGCACAAGAGGGTTAATATATTATCTCCCAGATTAAAATTACAGTGGTCCCTCGGTTAACAAACACAATTCGTTCCAGAAGGTCGTTCGTTAACTGAAACCATTGTTTCAATGGGATTTTGGGTAATTGGTTCCAACTCACCGAAAATTACATATAAACTAAAAATAAATGCAGTAAAGTATACTTACTTTGAGGTTTGCATGTAGAAGGCTCCTGGTTGATGATGATGATGGGAATTAGAATGGGGGTGGAGAAGGTTGAAGAGAAGGCATTTGGGTGGAAGAGAAGTCACCCCATGGCACCATTTCACCCATAAAATTTTAGTTCCCTTGGTGTAATTCAAGATTATTTTCTTTAAATCACCACTGCACTGCATTATGTATTGTCAATATGTAAAATAAACTTCAGAATGACCAATAATTGTACTGTAAAAATATTTTATGTTCAAGAGAGTCTTAAGCAAGATGCTTCCTCCACTGAGCAGACACACAAACTGACGCCATTCTGGGTGAGTCAAGTGGCTGTTTGGCGCGCTAAAAACTAGTTCTCTGTACTTCAATTATGTTAAATAATTGTTAAAATGACTAAAAAAATTTAATATAAGATTTGGAAAATTATTGAATAGTACAACTTTCTTGATATTTACTCAAATGGTAACGAATTTAAGCCCTAAAACCTATTACTGTATTGGCGGACTAATACTACAGCTGGTGAGCAGGCGATAACATGTTGGGAAAAATTTGTATGGAGTTCGTTAACCAAATTTTTTTCATTAACCGAATTGAATATTCTTATGGAAGGTAATTCGTTAACCGAGGGATCACTGTATTTATACAGTGCGTGTGCGCACATGTAAAATTTTTTGCTAATTTATCAGTTATTTTTACTAAGAATACTTTACATACACATACTACAATCCAGCTTGTGCTGTCTCTCCATTTTAGTTAATACTAGATGGCCTCTGATACTGAGTGTACAGTAGGTGCCCACTATTTTACCAATAATGAGGTTAATGGATTACAAGTGAAGGAAAATTAATTATACAGAATTTGTTTCTATGTTTAAGATTGTCTATAAAACTTATTGTAGGTGACCACAGTGGAATGAATTACAGTAAAACACACACATATGCAATAAGCATTCTTCCAGCATTCACTGTCATTCTATCTAACTGCAGTAATAGATGGATTCTGCAGTAGTACAAAATTATGTTACCAAGGTAATGTAATTTTTTTTTTTCATAAAACAAATTGTATTTCAGTTCAGCTCTTGCACAAATTGAATGTCCGAGCTTCCGATGGGAACATGAAGCTATTGAAAGTTATACGCAATCCAGTCACGGACCATCTCCCTCCTGGCTGCAAAAAAATTGGCACCTCATTCACAGCTACGAAATTGGTCAATCCTCGAGAGATTGTTCCCAACAATGAACCAATTGTTGTGGTTATTGGTGCTATGGCTCATGGAAAGGTAGGAATATGCTTGTATAATGTAGTGGAGTAGTGTTTATTTTCTATTAAAAAAAAATTAAATTGGGTTCTGTAGGTTATTTGCAGTGTAACCATCACTGCACTCACATTCTTAACTGTAAAGGTAGGTAGTGGTGCCCATTTACACCTGGTTGGGATTGGACTAAGGGTTTCCCCCAGGCACAAAACAGTGACCCTTAGGTCAGGGGGATTAGTCTCGTATATCCACTTGACTACTGCATCCTGCAGATTTCCTAAATACAGTAGAATGAAGTAAAATTTAATACTGACCTCTATTTTGGGTAGTTATAAACAGGATACTTGATAGCAGCAGTAGTTTTTGTTATTGGCAGTCATAAACTTCATAACCCCTAAACTACAATGACTTAATCTTTTGCATGAAATGCCATTCTCCTGAGTATGATTACTACAGTGAATAAGGCCAATTAATAAGATATCTTAACCCCTGAATACAATGTTTTATTCCCCTTAAGGACAATACTTATTCCTTTGAATATGATGAAATTGTAATTGGGGGATTAAAATCATTGTATTTAAGGAGTTAATAGCATAGTTGTATTTACTGATTTGTTAGAGACTATAGAATAACTGTTATTCAAGGAGTCCTCCTTTCTCAGTGAATTAATTTTGATGGTGTTTTTACAGTACATACTGTATGTACACAGGTTATAGCATACTTTTTCCTATAAAGCTTCATTAATATTTTATAGCCATTACCCAGGCTTGAGTGGGTTATCTGCAATTACCTGATGGCAGCTCTCAATGATGCACAATCTCTTGAAGTCTCTTATTTAATATCATTTCTTAGAACCTCTCCCCATGCCCATCTTGGCCTACCCCTGGCTCTCCTCCCCTCCACATTTAAGCTCATGCATCTTCCAACTGAATCAGTTTCATCTATTCTCTCCACATGCCCAAACTATCTCAGCCAAAAAGTGAACTGAGGTCTGAGCAGCAACCAGGTGTGACAGCTTGGCTGCTGTCATACTTGTCTGCTACCTGTTCAGTATATGTTAGCCTTAGGTGTGAACATGCAAGGTAGAGAAAACACTTTTGTTATGAAATAGTTTTAACCATTGGTTTAAACTAATCACCCTGAGGCTAAGGGACTCCACACCCACCAATTTCTTTGTTTTATCCTCCAAGTGACAGTACAGTGTAATAAGTTTAACAACAAAAGTAGAGGTCAAATAAACTTCTAAAATTAAGTATATATATCAGCACATTGCACAAAATTGACGAATTATTCGATAATACAGTAATAATGTTGATATAAATAACTTAAACTAGTTGTTTTATGCAGTATTATGGCACAATAATTATGGAAGCCCCTCGAAATCGTGGATGGCTGGCCCACCTGGCGTGAATTTGTTTAAGGTGTAAAAGCTGTCGCCAACTCAACAACCACACCCTAAATTAACGAGCTGCATGACCCAGTGTTAAGGAATAGTCCGAGAAGACCAGAAAACTCACCAACTGCACTGGCTAACCATTACCCCGGAATACGATCCGTAAATCGATTAACATCCAGGTTCCAAATTAATGATGGGTAGACAGAGGCAAATGGCGTAAAGAAACTGGCCCATAGTTTCACCCTGCCCGAGGATCGAACTCAGGTCCACTCGCTTGCGAGGCGAAGATGCTGACCATTACACCACAGGTCATGTAAGGCACAACCCTCGCTTTACGCGGTCCCACTTTACGCATTTCCACGTTTACGCGGTACCTTGCCGAAACCGGAATGCTCACTTTCCGCGGTGCGTGTACCCCTTTATGCGGAGAGCGGCTGGTGAGCCGCGCCATTTTTGGATCCAAACCTCCCGCCCTCTCCCGCCATCCGCCATGTTGTGTAAGCGGCGCGAGTAGGTTGCGCAGTGTGTGTCTTTGTTGCGTTATCAGTGACGTCATATGACGTATCGGACTGTAATTGGGCCATGCATCCTTACCTCCCTCCGCTGTTAGCTGTGATTGGTTTAAAGTAATATGATGTGTCCACCCGCGGGAGGGAGGGAGGAAAGACGACGCTTGACCTAGCCACGGCAGTTTCATCCCTCCAGGCCACACCGTGTATACGTGATTCCATTGTTCTGTAAAATGGCTTCCGCCGGACCACCACACCCAGAGAGAAACCTTTCCCAGCCGCCCTAAGCCAAAGAAGACACAACGTTCCATAAGCTACGAAATTAAGTATAAGATCATACAAGAGTTGGAGAAAGGAACATGACAGGTTGATCTCGCGCACCAGCATGGTGTTAACGAGTCTACGATCAGGACAATTAAGAAGGATGCAGCCAAGATAAAGGAGCACATGAACATCACAAAGTCTACAGGTGCTTCTATGATCAAGTATTTCCACAACCAGGTGCTTCTCAAGACGGAAAAATTACTTGTGAGCTACTTGGTGCGTCAGGCGCGACGGAACATGGCTGTGGACATGCGCTCAGTTAAGGAGTATGCACGTGAACTGTATGCTGCAGTGTCACGAAAGATGGGAATTACAGAGCCCAAACCCTTTAATGCTTCCTCTGGGTGGTTACAGAGGTTTAAGAAGAGGAACAAGATCACCAATATCAACATTGGTGGTGAAGAAGCTAGTGCTGACCGTGTTGCGGCTAGGGAATTTCCTCCGTTTTTACGTGAGATTATGGAGGAAGGACAGTACACCGACGACCAGGTGTTTTACATGGACGAATCTGGTCTTTTTTGGAAAAAGCTACCTTCCAAGACCTTCGTAGTGAAGAATGCCAGCAAGTGTCGGGGCCGGAAGTTGCAGGAGTGCATCACCATCCTGTTTACCACCAATGCCTCCGGTACCTGTAAGCTCAAGTTATCGGTGATCCACACAGCACACAAGCCGCACGCCTACAAGAGCATGGACATGACCAAGCTATATGTCCACTGGCTGACCGCACGTAAGGCATGGATGTTCTCTACACTGTCCCTCTCCTGGTTTGATGACTGTTTCGTTCTCGATGTGAAGAAATTCTGTGAGCAACAGAATGTGCCATTCAAGATTTTGTTGCTGCTTGACAACGCACCAGGACACTCGCCCCTACTGTTAGATCGTCACCCCAACGTAAATGTGGTCTTCCTTCCTCCCATCACTACGTCTATAATACAGCCCATGGACCAAGAATTGATCTGTAATGTAAAAGCTGCATTCTCTAAAAAATTCCAGCTCCTGAACGACTACACCAACACCAAGGAAGAGTTGCGTAACCTGAGTGAAGACGACGAGGATCAACAGTTGGCAGAGCAAGAAGTACTTTTAAAACAATTCTGGAGAGCATTCAACGTCAAGAAAGCTGTGGACTTCTTGGTGGAGGCATGGGATCAGCTGTCTGTAGCAACTGTTCGTCATGCATGGAGACATGTGTTGCAAGGCATTCCGGCCGTTAGGCAGAGTCAATCTGTGACTGGTGAGGGTCAGACTGTTGCAGTAGCAGTGGACCTTGCCAGAGAAGCTGCGCAGAGTGTTACAGCTGCAGGCTTCTCCGAGACCACCAACGACGACATCCTGGAGGTGATAAGGGATCCTGATGTGACTACCGACGAGATGGTAGATGATGATGACGTCAGTGAAGAGGCAGGTGGTGTGTCATCCCAAGAAGAACGCCGCTTATCCCATAGTAATGTTAGGGGTGTCATCGAGTGTATCGAGAAAGCCAAGCTCCTCCTTTCCGACGACCCTGACGCAAACAGGTATGAAATCTTCACTACCCAGCTGTTGCAGACTATGGAGCCCTACATCAAGGTTTATCACGACAACATAAACACCAGCCGTCAGCAAAGCATAACAAGTTCTTCGCCCGCAACCCACCACAGCCAACCCAAGTCAAAGATAGTAACAGAGGCAGAGACAGTGATGATGACTTTGAGGGATTTGTCAGGGAGGCACTAGTATGTGTGGATGACACCGATGAAGACTCACCTGAGGGCCAGTAGCCTGCCCTCTGCCTCGGAATCAGCCTCCATTCCCCTACGCCGACCCATCTCTTCTACTAACGTAAGTGTTAACCCCAGCCTTGTTTTTTTCTAACCTAACCTTCATTTTATTCTTCTCGTATTGACTGTTCCCTTCTATATTATGTGTGGGTGAATATTATCATAAAGTTAAGAGGTAATTTTTAGTAAAACGTACGTATTGTGTCAGGAAAAAGTGGAGTTCGGGGGTCGGGCCGGTCTCCATTTCAATTAATCCCATATGTTATGTTGTTCACTTTACGCGGGCCGCCGTGGGTTGAATTAAGCGCGTAAAGTGAGGGTTCACTGTATATTACAAACATATCAACAGTAAACAGCTCCTCCCCAACTTACAACGGGGTTAGGGACCCAAATCCAGGTCGTAAGTCGAAAATGCTTAAATAATACATAGAAAATCTAAAATGGGTGTCTCTTTTTCTTCTCAGCACCACAAAACTCTCACTTTGAAGCTTGCCAGCCATTTTAAAGTGAATTACAAACAAAAATTTTGTCTGTGTACTGACGTTGGGACTTGAAAATACATAATTTGACAAAATTTTGGTACAAATGAGGCAGGTCGTAAGTCAGGGAGGAGCTGTAGTTTTTCAGCTAGTATATACAGTAGTTAGTTGAACCCACAGGGTACCGCAGAAAATGAAAACCACGTAAAGTGAACAACAGAACATATGGGATTAATTCTAATAGAGACTGGCCCGACCCCCAAACTCCACTTTTTCCGACACAATACCTATGTTGTAGTAAAAATAACATCTAAATTTTATGATGGTATGCTCACACAATTAATATTTAAGAGAAATACAGTCGCCAGGTTAATGTCCATTCAAATAATGGACTCAAATCCCCCCCCCCCTCTTCCCAGCTCACTAGCTCCTACCTCTCTGATTAATGTTTGGGTGAAAACTCTAGATTTTAACGTTTAGTAATAAATAATACCTCAGACTAAAGTTAGGATAATATAATTGACATTTCTGGATTCCTTGCAGGTCAGGGAATATT